GACAGGCACTTGGACTCATGTGTAAAATGGGTTAAATCCATTTTATCTAACTCACACCACCCTCTTCATTCACAACTCTCCCCTTGCATCTCATCAGGCAAAACCAGAAGCCTATATAGAAAACTATATGCTCGCACCAGCAAGTACAAAAACTCAACCATACCCTCCCTACTTAGCTCGTGTTCTGTGCGATAAAGAAAGCATTAGGCGTGACACCTATAATTCATTAAATAGTCAGTAGAACAACTGGACCTCGTCTTTCTAACTCATATCATTTATAGGTACAACATTTTCTTTCTTCCTTTTCCTTTTCTCTCTCTTCTTTCTCTTTTTTCCGTTATGTGCTGCTTTGTTTCTTTCCCCCTCTTACACCACTAAATATGACAGCACCTACTTTCCTAACACCTTCAAACACTGTTCAACTTTGGCTTTGCTACCGACATGCCAATATGTTGTTGTCATAATGAACTGAGATTACCCTTAATCTATGTAGAATTCTATTTATTGATAGTGTACTAACTGGATGCAATACTGCAGTAAAAATGCTGAGAATTCCATTTTTGTATCACAAGTACTGTTTTGGAATAAAGCAAATTATTATTATTATTGTTAAATTGTATTGGCATCAGTTATATTTGTACTTAAAGGTTAGTGGCTGAACTTGTTCAGTCGAAAACTAATATATTTTCTGGTGGATTTATGTAACAAAAATAACTGGGAAGAATGGGACACGACGTCCGGGTATTATTTACTGATGGCTACATCAAGGATCAAATTTAAGACTGTGATGTTTTACAACCATCCAACCAGTGATTAAGTGTGCACAGGTCACATGAATTTTAAGTTTCTGTCAATCAGCTGCCAGACCAATTATAACTTTAGAAAAGTTCAATACTGATGAATAATGTTGTGAAACTGCACAGTTGAATTTTTTAGGATTTGGAGTTGAACTTTCACCTCATTGATCGTGATCAAATTTGAAACAAACCAAATCCCTACAAATTAACCTTTGAAAATTAGTTTGATGCTCTCCAGTGACTGCCTACATGACGACGTTGCATGGGTATCTAGTGCAATGTCGTAGTCAGTTAGGTTCATCCTGTTGGGAGTGAGGAAGAATACTCGTCGATGACTCTGATCAGAGGTCGCGCTAAAATCCCGAACTGGTAGAAGTTAGAATTCATGGGCTGGTCGTTGATTTGGGTCTACTAGCTTGCCTTGTAAGTGGAAGGTTCTGGATTCGAAACATGGTGGTAGGTGGACATATCCAATTAGTCTAAAACCAGGTAGCTAGTTCTTTCTGGTTTTCAAACGTTCGCTAACCGATATCAATCCTCGATCAGATTTGAAAGAATTCCTCACTTAGTTGGAGGAAATAGATTTCCTGAAGGTTCTAGTTTGTCATTTCGGGACGATAATATTTACTTATTTCTGCTTAATATGAGATACAAGTAGAACTACTAGTATTTAACTAGTTTATGCCTTGGTATATTACCAAAATGGTCAGCTGGATTCAATCAGACCTGTTACTGTTCAGTCATCAGATCACTTTGGTTCGGAGAGTGAATTTATCAAAACAATATAATTGTCCATCGTAACGTATTAGTCTGTACCATACAGAGGTTTTCTTTTGTCGGAACATTTGTCGATCAGTTACTCTCAATCATTAATTTCGTAATACTTCAATAAGCAACATAAACTGTTCAGATATTAGGAAACTGCCAGTAGATCTTGGTGCTTATTTCTTCCTAATGACTTTTACGTCTCTAGTGGATTATTTAGTCTTTTTTTATTTTCCTCGTATTGCATCTGAAGAGTTGTTCGTTTATACGAGATTATTTATTTTATCTGTTTGTGACGGAATAATTGTTTGGAAAATTACTCCTCAGCAATCTAGTTTTAATATTGACGTTTATTTAAACATTTCTATTAACTCATTAATTATTATCCGTGTATCGCCCAGACTGTATACCACATGTTGACCTGATCTTTATTATTTGTCTTTGTCCCATGTTTAATCTCTGATTTTAATGCTCCTCTTTGTGGTTTACTGAGAATATTGATAATGCATCGTTTTACAATGTGATTTTGTTTGAACAAATGAAGGTTCTTCTGAGCTTGGACTGTCTGCAAGAATTTGTTTATGTTTGAGCCTTGTGGACAGAGTTTTGATCCGACATTGCTGACAGTATTCTACTTGATTCTAACCTACTTCTTAAAGTTAAATTTTAGTTAACTAATTTTGTTATACAGTACGCGTTTTGTACTAGATTGTATGGCTAGCTGCTTAACGGCATAGTTGAGGTAATTTTGAATTTCGATGTTTGTTACTGTTGAACAGAACCACAAATTTATTGAAGAGTAATGACTATTTTTTAATTGTCTTTAAAGAGTTGTGTGACTGTGCGTCTTTCAAGGAAGCTTTAGACAGGTATGCAGTTGAACACAAAGATCAGTTTCCTCTATTTAGACTGTGACGCGTCAGTCTTGGTCGTTACAGTGTTTTTCATTTGCATGAAGCAACCATGAGACCCTGGCACTGGTTATCTGAGTAGGTTCTTGAATGTTAGAAATTTACGAATGATCTTCGACCAGTTTTCACTGATTGATAGTGAACTCTAGTCTTCAAACCATAAAGACTAAATGAAGCGTTCGTTAGTTTTGTATGCTCTTTTTTTGTAAACGAGTGCTTTCAACATAAAAAGCATCATTTCCAACAAAATGAAGTCTACTGGGGATTACTTCCAGCCAAATGCCTCCAATGTCTTAGTATTAATTCAGAGTGTATCACAGTCATGAGTTTTTTAGCCTGTTGTATCTACTGCCCGAGTCTATGGCATACACGGTCGGAATTTCACCTTTGTCAAATACGAATCCAATAGTTAAGTAGAGAAACGGTTGGCTATGGCACTTAGTGTTACCTGAAGCGTGAAGCTGAAACGAAACCTTTCAACTGTCAAGTATGGCGCCGTGGATGGCCCCACCAAATATGTAAATGCAGTCGGTGGGGCAGGTTTTCTTGTCAATGATTTGTTTACATTAGGATATGAGATCAAAGGTACCATATGCTGTCCGTCTAACCGGTCGACTAATTTTAGCTGACATTAGGAAGTAAGCAATTGGGTAAACTGTCAAAATGTCCTCTTACAGCTGAGAGTTTGTAAACTATAGTGTTTCCGTCAAAATATCTTCGTACTGTCATGTGTCTGTAACCTTTGTTAGATGCGTCCTATGTGTAAAATACAAGTCTTTCCGAAACAAGAGATATAATTTGAGATGAGAATAACATAATTTATATCACTGCTTCCCTTCACATAGGATTCACCTGAAGAGGGATAAATGTTTCTCACCTCTTTTCAATAGATCTTTGAATTAATTTTGTTTTTATTTGAAATTAAGTTATTTGTAAGTCATATATATTTGTCAAAAAGTGGTAACTAATGTGTGACATATTTTCAGACTATTCAGTAGTCACAAGCTGCAGTGCGACTTGATAGGGAACAGTTATAAACCAAGGAGTACTTGAACAGCTGTTTCGTCCTTGTTTGAGACCCTTCATCAGTGCGCATTTATGACCACAGAACCCAGAGCCTACAAGCTACAAGGTGAGTATATTTGGCTCCAACGCCAGCCAATATCATCGACGAAATATTGCGAATTGGTAGAAGTTGAATCCAGAACCACACGGGCTAAATAGTTGATGAACTCGCTTCTAAATCGAAAAGTTTTCAGTTAGATTTGCAGCTGGATGATGGCTGTGTACTACTGAAAAGTCTCGATCTGGGATGAAGCAACTGTTTAGTACACCCTGGTTCTTTTTTTTGAAAACAATCTTATACCGGTCAAACCAACGCTTGAACATATAGTGGTTCCATTTTTCCTTTATCATCACTAAGTGATATCATCTTGTGAGTAGTTGAAAAGTAATCAATAATGGGAAGCTTTCACATCACAATTTAAAACAATTCAGTAAGATGTTTCCAGGATATTGTAAGAAAAACAAATTTTTCAGCTATCTCTCAGTTCAGTGGTAACAGTGGAATACTTCGAAGCCGGTGAATTCAAATTGCAATCTCCTAAATTGTCTAGTCTATCAATTATGCTCAAAGAAAGAAGTGAGTTATTCTTTCATTTTCCAATTTACCATCAGGGCTCAGAAATCAATTGGGCAAAAACTTTAAATTATCATTATTCAACAGAGAGTATTCACATGGAATTGATTTTATTGATTTCAATCTTTCTCGCTGTATTCAAGCGTTGGTTTGCATGGATTAGATTTGATTGGTTACAGGATTTCATCATGACGGGTTGACATCGGTTACAGAGCCATTACAAACCTGCAGAGAGTACTGGACAGCTGTTTCGTCCGTCCTAGTTTGGGACTCGTCATCGACATGCACTTACCTTCAGGATTTGAACCAGGACATTCTGGTTCCAAGGTGAGCTAGCTCGTAAACCAATAAGCCACTGGGAACCTATTCAATGGCCAGTCCATGAAGTCCAACTTCTGCCAATTCCCGATATAGCATGACTGGGACTAGCCAGTGTCATTGGCGAGTATCTGTCCAAACACTCGACCTTCTGTACCCTAATGGTCAAGAATTCTCATGAGTTAGCAGAAGTTGGAATTCATGGGCTGACCAATGAGCCAGGTTCCAGCGGCCTAATGGCCTACGATCTCAGCTTGTAACCAGAATGTCCTGGATTCAAACCCTGGAGGTGGGTTAGTATTGATGAGGAGTCCCAAACTAGGACGAAACAACTGCCCAGTACTCCCTGCATGTTTTCCAATGGCAGCTCATGATAAAATCCTATTCCTCACTTTGATTAAAACATTCTTATTTTTCAGGATAATGTCCGAAGTTATGACCAGAATATGAGTCTCGGGAAGACTCCAATCCTTATCCTTTGAAAAAAAGCTAAATAGAATAGTCTATTTCTCAAAAAAACAGGATCATTATCGATAGCAAAACGTCAAAAAATATTTCCACAACACTTACATTCAAATAATTCGCCTTCTTCTTCGAATCTCTTTCAAACTGATTCAACAAAAACGCATTGATTTGATTATGCTGACTTATAATATCCGGAAAATCGATAAAAAATCGAGAACACATATACTTTTCCATTGACATAACATCTGTAGTCTCTGACTGTTTATAACCTTCAGCTAACAGTTTACAATATTTCAACAGACCACCACCGTGGATCTCTTCTGGTCGATATGTTGCAATTATACGGTCATTTAAATGCGCCACAGCTTCAACATAACTACCAGATAAAGATTCAGCTACAACTGTTGGATAAAAGTTCTCATTCATTTGTTGATGCTGTAAATAACCACTTGTAGGATCATGAAATTTTATCAAACTGTCTAGAACAATTTGAAAACTATCCACTGTAAATTCAAATTGACGATGCATACGATCAATAAATTTCATGTCAATTATCTTTGTTGCATTATCTTCTTTTGAAGAACAACCACGACCACGATAACCGATTGTAAATAATGACCATGAATCGGATATCTTTGAATTTGGTTTAAATATACGAATCATTTTTTGTATGTATTGTTTAACAGTTGTATCATTATATGGATTCATTAAACAATTTGAATTATTTCCATTATTATTATTAGTATTATTAATACAGTCAATATTATTGTAATATGAACAGCTGAATTGTCTTGAACACATTGAACACGCTACTGGCGGTAAAAATGAATCAAATGCATAATAAGGATATAGAGAAGTTAAAGGATGACATACGCCACAACATGTGGAATTACAATTTTCTGTTTGATTTTCATTGGTTAATGAATTGTTATTATTACTCTGAGGGCATGTTCCAGGATCAAAGGAATTTTCTTCAGTAATAGAATTTGACTGGTATCCTCCATTCGATTGAGAATTCTCATGTAAAGGTTGACGATTATCATTATTGTTATTATTATATTTATGCTTATTACCTTTAGGTGCATCAGGAGTAGTTTGTAAATTTCCGATATTTTCTTTGTTTAACTGAAACGATTTGTTCAGCGGACTACAAGTACAATTACAACAACATGAAGAAGTTAAGGAATTCTGTGGTGTGGTCTCAGTGGAATGTATGTGAGGAAGAGGAAATGTATTATTATTATTACACATATATGGACAACCGTAGGAATAATGTTTTAATTTCTCTAATGCAATTGTATCCGCTAGTATATGTGCAATACATGAGAAGACAATGGATTTAATTTTTGTGAATGTTGTAGAATTGGATAAATCAACTCGAAAAATAAGGTCGATATCGTTGAATTTTTCAGTTTTTTGTGAACCTTGATAAAACAAAGGTAGATATGAGATCTTTAATAAAAATTATATTTTATTAATAACTTTTGACATCAGGAGAGGATTATATTGGAGTTGAATGCGGAAACATGACTGATTGGTAGATGAGGAGGGGGTTTCCCACTTATTTGTACCCATCAGTGGATGATATCTGTTGCTCTTGACACTGAGTTTTCTGGCAATCAGGAACACCAATCAGTGTGGTTAGATAAAAGTGTGATAAAAACCATCAATGAGTTTGATTTTAGACCTCTTGATCCAAACACGTCATAAAACTAGTTTGGAGGAAGCTTTCTCTATCATCTATGAGGTACCTGATAGCATCTAGGTACTGAATGCTCCAAACAGCAGAAGCCATTGCAATTTGCTTAAAACAACTAGAGATTTGTGTGCGAAAGAAGCAAGTTCAGCTACTATTGTTAATCTGGCCTGCTATCGAACCTATCAATTCATAAATTTAGTAATATTTCCGTCAATTTACTCGATAATAATTTTTAAAATTCTTTTTATTCCTTTACGTTCCCAGTGGAACATACGTCTTGAAGTTTTGGTAGCAGTGGTGTTTATTTCTACGGGATGGGGTTGTTAGTCCCATGCTCAATCTTCCCTCTTTACCAGTCTTATTACTGGTTTGGTGAGGTAAAGGAGAAATGCGTTGGTGGCTGAAGATCGAAAGCCGAATTACCTGTGTGGTTGGTAAGTATTCTACCGCTGAGCCACCGACGCCGATATATAGTTTAGTGGTATATTAATGTATATTACCTCCTCTTATTAATGCTTTTGAGGTGTGACCTGTTGATAGTACCGATTCACAAATTAAAAATAGCAGTAGTGTTGTTAATAAGCAATGTTTCTTTAGTTATTATAGTCATGTAAATGTAGAGCCTGATGAATAATTTTTCATGAAGAGTACTCTTTATTCATTAATCAATCTTTTAAAATTCTCAGTAAGCATCTTTAATTATTCTAGTTTGTTTCCTGAACAACTGAATATGAAAGATGGAGAGCTAATTACTTGCCTTCTTAGTCCTTTAACTTTACTCTGCTACAGATTCAAGGTTGTATTGCCGTTGTTAAGAAGACTGTTTCAAATTAAATAGCTTCCTGTCGGACATTAGTCAGTGGTCCAAACTAAATGGTCTCATGCTGAATCCCTCAAAATGCCAGACTACTGACTTCTCCCTTAGGCATAAACGAGATCTACAAACACTAGTAAGTTCTCATGAAGACTGTTGCATTCAGGGGACTAAAATTGAAACTAAGTCTAACGCAAAATACCTCGGTCTAGGTCTATCTTCCGACCTTACTTGGACATCTCACATCCTAATGATTTCTAAGACAGTGTGTGCTGTCTTACCTACTACATTAAGAAACTTAAACAATCTGGAATCACCCAAACTCTACTTTCACAATTTGTCAACTCTTGTGTCATACCTATTCTACTTTACTGCTCCCCGTTAGTCTTTCCTGGTCTACTGAAAAAGGACTATACCATCCTGAGAAGAATGTTGAAGGTAGTTAGTAGGACTATTGGTGTAAAACTCAGTCAGCTAGTCACTACATTAGTTGATAGGCACATGAATACATGCGAAAAATGGTCAAAAACCATACTCTCCGACCCCCAACACCCCATCTATTCTCAACTCTCGCCTTGTATCTAATCAATTAGCACCAGATGTCAGTATAAAATAATCTATGCTCGTACAACCAAGTACAGGAACTCAACGATACCATACTTGGCCCGTGTTCTAAGCGACAGAGACAATGTTAAGCGTGAAACCTATGACTTGCTTTGTTGTAAATAACATAATTTTAGGCTCTTTTATTTCTCTCTTATTTTGTATTCTATAGTGAACTCCTTCTTAAACATACTTAGCTACCTAAATTATTAACATTGGCTTACTCTTTTTGTACTTTACTGTATTTCCTTCTTTTGTGTATCTACTGGTTCCGACTCTATTAGCTCTATGAATATTACAAAATTGTCCTGTCATTAACCATCATGTAATTATTAGTTTTGTGGTTGTTTTTTCTTATTTTTTATTTTTTTCGGCAATATTAACTGACAATCATTGGCTGTGAACGCCATTATCACCACCTTAAAATTTTGTATTATGCAGGATTACTCACACTACCACTACAAACACTACATTAGACCTGACAATAAAAAACAAAACAAAAGCCCTGAAATGTTATTTTATGATTGTTTAGTGTTGTTTCAACCAAATTAACTGATCATCTTGGCGATAAACATTCTTAAATATCATTTCATAACTTCTTGTATGACTATAGCTTTACTGTCACCATGCATAATCATATCATAGCTTCCATTACCCAAAACTGAGTTATTAATAAGTGCTGTTTATTTTCCTTTCTACTTCTTGGTATTATTTCGCATTAAAAAAATTATTTTGTGTTTTTCCTGTCTTTTTGCTGTTGGTGTCTTTATATTTATTTTTTTTTGAAATACTCCTTTTAAATGTTTGATAAAATTAGATGCAAATATTGTAGATATGTGCTGAAAATTCCAAACTGTACCACTAGTATTGTTTCTGGAATAAAGCAAATTATTATTATTATTAAAAGAATCAATTTGCAATGAAATCTCCGCTTGGTCGATTAGATACTGACTGTTTCATGTCAGCTTTCAAGAAGATCTGATGGACAGATCCAAAAAGCAAAATGGAACAGAAAGTAAACTAACTCTCACACCTTTTTCCAGGCATTGGAAAAAACTTCATCAAACCTCTTTTCACAAGAATCAGTCGCACTTACACCAGGGGACAAACTAAGCATAGGACAGAAGTTTTTCAGAAACCCTCTAATTCAAAGTGGTTATCCACCAGGATACATCAGCAAACATATGAAAATTAAGATTGACAACTTGAAAAAGGCAGAACTACCAAAGACAAAAATAGTTCAAGGGAAATATTAAAAAAAGACGGTTGCAGGGAAGAAAATTTTCTTCTCAGTGAAGTCATCAACTAGACAGCTGTACATTCTTGTATTTATAATAAATGTGTGAGAAAGTTCCGGAAATATTTCCGGTCTTAGAGCAAACTGATAAAATCTCAAAGTGTAATAAACAGGAAGACAAAATAAAAAAACATACTAGTATCATATTTATTGAGAAAATTGACTTTTTGTGCAGTCAGGGATTAAAAATGTAATAATAACAAAGGTGTTACTGAACCATAAACTTTGCATAAGCGGCTTTCGAAATCACTTAGTAAAACATAATTCGCTGATAGCCTACAAAAGATTTTTTGCCAGAAACTATTCAGCTACCATTTGAAAGACAAGTCGTCACACTGGACCTATTCAACATGCATACATCAGTTCACTTGCTCGTGTGGAGCCGACTACATTGGCCGTACCATGCGTCCGCTTTTGAAACGCGCTAGGAAACACTATCCACCATGGTTTGCAAAAGGAGAACGCAAGGGTGTAAACAGTTTGGTAACACAACATTAGGTGAACTCAGAGCATCCAGCTCCATTTTGAAACTTTTTCGAAGCTACTCTCAAAGGGAGGGACATGAAGGCATCTGGGCGCAGCTGAGTCACCAGTAATCAAAAAGTTCAAGCCCATGCTATGTATTCAAAAGAAATACGTCCAGCTGTTGTCCCTACCACTGCCATCATAAAAAGTCAATACTCTATTACCCTTCTTATCCAGTCTTCCTGTTTATTTCTGTTATTTATATGGTTCTCAATCCCCACCTGCACTACTAATTTTTTTATCCGAACTTTCTATCCATTTTATTATTACCACGTTTTTAGTTCCTAATTGAACAAAAAGTGAATGCTTCCAGTAGTCATGAGGCTACAACGATTTTGTAAATCTAAAATTCAAAGGTGAGTTAACAGTTTAGACTCTTCACGAAGCAGATTATCCCGAGCATTTCGGCGTGGATTCTTCACTCATCCTCAATACACAACCTCTTATTCATCGCAATGTTTAAGACAACGTTCTACGGTTGACAACATTCGGGTGTATGTGTCAGTTCAACTGCTCTTGTGGAGCTATGCAAATAGGCCATACCAGTAGGATATTATCTCAAGGTACAATAGAATATTTTACAATAAGGCTGTCGGAAAAGAAGAAATTAAACACACCAACTGTTCAGTCGCTGATCAACCCATTCTTACACATCGTTTTTTCGTCAGTAGAGAAATCCTTTAAACAACTGTACAACGTAAGTTCAAGTGGTTTGAAAGGTTTCCATGGCTAAAGTTCTTGCTATGCCCAAGGAAAATCCTGATTGTGCAATCACTTTTACTGCCATAGTCCTGAACATTTTTAACCTGAATACGAAATTTGGTATATTTAACCTATTCACTTGGCTTTATTATTCTCCCCTCTCTTCAAACTTCTAATCCTAGAGTACTCGATGGATATTTTCTGAATTTCTTGTTCTTATGAACAATATTCCTCTTCCCAAGCGTTTACAGTTTCAGTGATAATCATTTCTGAATACTATTCATCACCTGATATATTTTCAGAATACGTAAGAAGGCTTATATGTGTAAAACTTGGGCACTGTGGTAGTATGTAATTCAGTATTAGTTTGCTTATTAGATATATCACATCCAGTGAAACAGTTTTACTTACTGGATGACAATGTTTCGAACACGATCTAGTATTGTTCACAATCATATCAATTATAATCGCACTACTTCCCCGGCTGTGGCAGAGATATTCATGGATGGGGGGAAAACGTTCAGCCCCACTCCAAAAGTATGGTGGAGGCATGTAGATGACAAATTCACTCTATTTAGACCACAAGATATAAATAGATTTTTCGAATACATTAACTCAAATGTGGAGGCAATTCAATTCATTTATGAATTGGAAAGTCAGTAAAGGGAGCATCCAATGTTAGATTACAGTGTAAAAAGGAAAGAAAACGGGAAGTTAAACACTAATGTTTACAGGAAACCTACACATTCAAACAGATATTTGAACTTTCTATCATCCGATGTCAGTGAAAGTAGGATTGGTGAAATATTTAAGTAATAGAGCACAAAAACTATGTAGTACCAAGGAAAATCTAAGACAGGAAGTGAGGCATACAAGAGAATTTACAAAATTTATTAATTACCCTGATAAATTAATCAGGAAGTGTGCAGGGAATCGTAAAAATAAAATAAACAATATTAGTAGTGATATTGATAATAATAATACTAATGTACATGTCAAGCATGCACAGGGCAATGACCACACCAACAATACGGAATTTAAGCCATCAGTCTTATGAAGAACGAAACTTGGAAACAACCTTATGGATAATTCTTAACAATGCGGGAATAAAAACGGTTGGTATTCAGACGCCGCACAAACTCACTTAGAAACAAGCTTTGTCGGTTAAAGGATGAATCCTGTGGAGCCAATTAAACAAAATAATTTAGTTCATCTAATACCCTGCTGCAATGATTGCCAGGTGAGATACATAGGCTACAGTAGCAGAACGGAGTCAGTCAGACTAGTGGAGCACAAAATCTCGGCAGCAAAATCTAGATTAGTTGACCCTAATAAGATAAGAAATCTATCTGGAGAATAGTTAAGCTGTAGCACTCACTACATGCAATTACACACAATCATACAATAGGACGGTTGGGATAAGATGACAGTTGTAAAATCTAATATAACAGAGTGTGGGGAGAGAGGTTGATAACAGAAGCTTCATTTGTTGAATCAACTGCACACACTTGCAATAGGAATGATTCAGCACCTGTCCACCCAGACATCTGGAAAGTTCTACAACCCCTACAAGTGATAGGAAGCGATAAAGAAAACTATAGGACGGAAGTTTCGAAGTCGTGTGATTATAACTCATATGATTATGAACCATAATAAATTGTGTCCAGAACATTGCCGTCGAGTTAACAGCACCGTTCCACTGTATATGTGGTATATCTAATAAATAAATTAATATGGAAAGAAGAAGGCTTAGACAAATTACGCAATGGTTTCTTTCTGAAATGTAATTTCATATGTTTGTATTACGAAGTGCTAATTATAAGTTACCTTTATCGGCACTTCCACAATTTTTAGAATAGCATATAACTGGCCTGTCTTTTTAATTTATGTCACGTATGCACAAGAATTCCCAACTTGTGGAAGGTTTTCCGACTATTTGTTAACCAACAAATCACCGATGAGGAATCAAGCAATGAACATTTAAATATTTTAATTATTGTGCTCGGACTGGGTGACAAGTACATAATGTATTTATATATGAAGGCTAATCTTCCTCCGGGTTGCTTACTGAACCCAGTGTCCCTTAAGGTGCTGTTCTCTGCGACCTTCTTTTTTCTTTCTTCTTAAATGGCTTGCCTCTTTCGGATGAAATCGACTACGCTAAATATTCTGATGGTCTAACTGTCTCATTTCCAATTATATCTCCATTTGGGTGTTCCAAACTTAGTAGATTATTGTGGGAACTAGGGCAGCGGTCTGAGGTAAATGGCCTTACCTTAAATCCGTCTAAATATTAGACAGTCAACTTCACCTTCAGGCATTAACGTCATTTACACGAACTTGTTCGTTCACAAGATGCTTGTGGAATAAAGGGAAGTGAAATAGAACCTAAGTTTGATTGGACACTAGTAACTGGTGTGACGTGTCTAGTCCTTTCTTTAGTGCAGCACCGGGTGACGCTGGTTCGAATCTCAGAAGGGACATAAATTCCTTCAAGGTTGCAGATATGCCTTGCTGACTGGTGAGTGCCAACTAGCACGAAACCTAGGTACAAGGCTTGGCTTCCTGCTGACTACCTCCAACTATCTTACATCATCAGAACCTAAGTTTGGCATAAAATACTTTTGAACAGTTCTTTCCTCTGATATTTCTTGGTCATCCAATATCGTCTCGATTTCTGAGAAAATGTTACCTATAACCTACTACTTTAAGGAGTTAACACAATCAGGAATTACTCAAATTCTACATTTATAATTGGTTAACTTTTGTACGTACGTACTTATCTACTGTAACTCACCGCTCTCCCACATTCTTTACTAGGCTACTCACAAAGGACTGCGTAACACTGCCAAGTGTACTAAATGTTGTCAGTAGGGTAGGTGGTGTGCTAATAAGTCGACTCGTTAATACTTTAGTCGGCAGATACCTGAACTTATGCAAGAAATGGTCTAAATCCATGCTGTCTAACTCCCAACACCTCCTCTATCCTTAACTCTCCCCTCCTCGCATCTCATCAGGGGGGACTAGAAGTCCTTATAAAAGATTACATGCTTGTATAAGCACTTGCAGAGACTCAACGATACCCTATCTGTCCTGCGTTCTATGTGATAGTGTTAAGCATGAAACATACAACTTACTGTGTGATTAGCAAAACAAATGGCTCCTCTATCTTAATTTATTTGTAATTTTTGATGACAATGTTCCGTTTATATTATAATTTTAGTTAATAAAGTTATTATTATTATTATTTAACGCCTTTTGTAAATTATTGACTTTATTGTTGCTTCTAATACAAAAACGTTACTATTATCAATTCGGGTTGTTGCTGAGTAAATTGGATGCAATACTGTACCAATTTCTGTGCCATAAGTACTGTTTTGGAATAAAGCAAATTATTATGATAATAATTATTATTTATTGTTGAAGTTCTTGATGGTGAGACTATCTGGCATAACCTTTAGTTGGGGCACCACTTTTCATAAAAAGGGTAATTACTTAACGCGATAATAAAGTCTAGATTGCCTAAGGATTGCAAACAATGGTCCAGTATGTTCTCGAGGCCGCTAGTACGAATCCTGAGGCCAACCGATATTTGTATTTCACCTTTAATCGTTGGCCATCACACTTTATAGGGGTTTGCCATCTCAGATCTCTCCCTGATAGTCCCGCCATGAAGAGCTTCGATCAAGGAGTATTCACTTCTCTTCAGTTATGATCGATAATCAATTGTCGCCTTAAAATCAGTTAAATTCTGACTACGGACATTATTCTAATAATATTTATAGTTTTGTCAGTTAGTTGTTTTTCCTTTTATTTATTATTACTTTACCTACTTACCTACAATAGAACATGCAGCTCCACCGCCCAAACGTATTTCTTTCACTGGTATCGACTCCTCGACTAACCGATCCCGTATGGTTCGAATCAATTTTTTGAGTTGTATACGTATCGTTGGCAGTCTTGTAGTTGGAAATATTTCAGGCATCAGTGGAGTGTGTGATGACGGTAGATTTAAGCAGGCATCATGATAACAAGTAGATGATAGATCAGGACTGTTAGACGCGTGAGTTATAAAATTGTCCTCGTTGAACAATTGATCAGAAAATGTTGAAGTCTTTAAATTATTACTTATTGACGGTGTATTCTTGGTTGGGGTTGTACTCGGGGTTTCAGTTGTCGTTGTACCGATGGTTGTATCTGTCATTTCCCCACTGGTCTTTTTATTTTGAGATAAATTGCAAATTGGATTTATCGTCAGTCCTGAAATGTCTATATCATCTCCATTTTTCATACAGTTCATAATCGATTCTTGTAGATAACAACAATAACATGCTTTATTCATTGACAATGAATTATTATTTTCATCTATACAGCTGGAAAATAAAGGTTTTGGAGCAATACACACACAAGAATTCATAATTGCATCCAACTGTTTCACTTGTTCATAACTGAACACATGAAAACGATTCGATGTGTAGGTTGGACTGGCAGTATTAAAGTCCACATTCATTGGAACATCAGCAAGAGATGGGCCAGAATCTTTACTACGCTTAAATCTTCCATAATCAGAACGTTTATTGTAAATGTTACTGTAAGCACTCCTGCTATGACTATTACTACTACTACTATTATTGTAGTTATAATAGTAATAATAATTATATGGACGGTAGGTTGTTGCATAATTCTCATTGGTTTCATTTTCATTATAGTACGAGGAATAATTCCAATGGGTTTTATATAGTGTAGAGTCGATATAGTTGAATGGTTTTCGTTTTTTATACTTATTTGGAGTTAAATTCAATAGGTATTTAGCTTGTTTATACTTATAGTTTGTCATAAATCTTGGCAGTTTCATGTTTGCATCATAATCAGAAGTCTCTTGGATACTATTCATTTTTGAGAAAGATTCTATTCTCGTTTTCAATTTACGTTCGTTATTAGTGGATGTAGTAGTAGTAGTATGATGATGATGATGGACGTCATAATTGTTTGTTAAATGTTTCAATGGCTGGTGTTGGTCTTCATTGTTTGAAGGAATTGTCGATGTCATTATTGTTGGTGGTGGTTTAAAATCAACTTTTGATTCCTTTTTCATGATATGTTCCCAATTCAACTCTTTTCTACTACGCTGTAAGCAAAACTAATAAAATGGACATATTTATATGTATATATATAGTTTGCTATTTGAATGAATCATGCAGAATTTAGAGAAACTAATCATGTCATAAAAATTAATCAGTGATTTGTAATCACGATTCTGTAATACATTTACATATACCATTATTTAATATATATAGTGGAAAAGAATTTTTGTCTTCCCTAGTGAACACCGCTCAAATGTACTTTTTTTTCTCCTGTCTCTATATCATGAATGTAAAGACTCAATATTTTTATTTTATTTTTTTGCTTTTACTTTTTTTGCCCTAATCAATTCTCTATTCCTTTTTAATCAGTGATTCGTTAAATTCTGTGGGATAACCTTGACCCGTCAAATTTGATTGGTAGATTGAAATAGTCATTAACATGTGTTTTTGGGAAGGAAGGTTTCTATTGGTGGAAACTGGCAGTAGTAATAGCAGTAATGATATTTGACAGATAATTCCTTCTCATTGAGAAAAATAGAGACAAATTGAGTAACGAACATATATATATATTTATATTTTGTTATCTGAGTTCATGTGATTAACCATTAATGAAGTGGAAGAGGTTGACGTCAAGCATTACAGAGAAGGAAACGTTAAAAAAAATATAACGTGGGCGAAGTCAACAGTATAAATATTTTTACTTACCGCCTAACAGGCAGAACACACGACTGATGAATAAAAATTTTATTTGCTGATGCTGAAGTTCAGTCTTAAAAATTTCTGGCGCCAAAAATGAAGGATTTTATCATGAGATGACATCAGTCAGAGAACCATTGGAAAACCTGCACGGAGTACTGGACAGCTGTTTCATCCGTCCTAGTTTGGGACTCGTCATCATTACGCACCCACCGCCAATGTTCGAACCCAGGACATTGTGGTTACAAGGCTAGCTCGCAGACCATTCATCCACTGGGACTCGATTCAATGACCAACCCATGAATTCTAGCTTCTGCCAATTTACGCAGGACATAGCGTGATCACTTTGCAATGTCTTCTTCGATGAGTTACTGCCTCACCTGCAGCCTGCTGCACCCTACTGGTCAAGGCAGTATCTCATCAAAGATAATTAGAACTGGTGGCGCTATGTCATGAATTGTCAGAAGTTAAAATTCAAGGGCTGGCCATTAACTTGGGCCCCAGTGGCTGAATTATCTACGAGCTCGCTCACCTTGTAATCAGAATGTCCAGGGTTCGAACGCTGGTGCTGGGTGCGTACTGATGACGAGTCCCAAACAAGGACGGACGAAACAGCTGTCCAGTACTTTCTGCAATTTCTAACTGATTTCAGCTCATGATGAAATCCTTGAGCCAATCCAACAAAATTCCTACAAATCAATACTTGAAAAGTAGTGTATGAAGGATTTTTCACCTGAATAACACATCTAAGTTGAATATTTCAGTCATTTACTATCTAGAAATATTCCTAATAATTTAATATTTTTTCTTGTAAAATAAATAACAGAGTATTTAATGAAGGGACTTCTTGACCGCGTATACATATATACATATATATATATATGATTCCCAAACTAGGATGAAACAGCAGCTGTCCAGTACTCCCTGGTTTTCAATGGTGTGACATTGCACGCCATGCCTGTGCTTGATTGTAGCCCAAGTGGGAAACGACGAATTTGGTGTGGATCGGAGGGCGATATGGAGGAGATTATGTGAGGCGGAGATGAGAGACTACAGGCAGTCGTGGGGCCAGCCAAAGAGGACCGCAAAGAACAGGAAAAAGCGGAGACCTGATGTTGAAGCTCTGTGTTCCATTTGAAACTCAAGGGAAAAATAAAAATAATTTTTAAATGTTGGTTTGCAGAGATATGATGATTTCATGGTTGATTACGAACAGAATCTCGTTAAGGAGCCATTAAGAACCATAGAGTAATGGAAAGCCGTATCATCCGTGTTTAGGACTCTTCAGCAGCAGTCACTCATTACCTCACCAGGTGTCAAACTCAAAATCTTCAGGTTACTAAAAGAGTTCTAGGACCATTCAGTCATTCGGATGGTACCCATTAATCCCAGCTTCTGTCAGTTGGCGAGTATTTGTAAGTCATCACCCCGAAAAAAGAACCATTACCCACTAGTAACTGACTACAGGAGAAAGTTACCTGTAGTTTTAAATGGGAATTTATGACTAACTGGCTCCACTAACATGGATTTGAAAATAAATACTCGCTAATTGTATTGGTCACTGGAGTCTCCATATATCACGAATTGGCAGAAGTAAGAGTTAATGGGCCATTGAACTTCATCCCAGTGGCTGAATGACCAGTAAGCTTAAATCATAACAAGCAGGTCACGACTTCAATCCCTGGGGGTCGTGGATGCGCACTGCCGAAGGTTCTTAAACAGTGACAAAATAGTTATCTATGACTCCTTGAAAGTCATTTTGTGATCAATTTTGAAGCTAATCAATTCCATAGAAACCAACATTTGAAAATTAGAGGATTTTTTTACTGAATGTGGAGCGATAAATTGTGCTCGAAACGTGGTCATCAGTAAATACTACTGTATAACACTATGTGATTTTATCAAAATAAAATTTTATCCATACTTGAACATTATCTGGATTTTTAATACTGATATCGATTCAGTGATCCCTCTGGTTCAGATACTTGGCGCACACGTCACCTAAATCCCTTCCACCAACATCCTAATGAAGATGGCCATCAACAGATGCCTTCACTGGATAGGGAAGATCAGACAACAGATAAGAAGCAATAATACATGAGTGGGAACCTTTGCGCGAAATGATGTGACAAGTTGTCGAGGTGAACCGGAATCAGGAGCGACTAGTTGGACTAGTCCGAAGGTGACTTGGAGGAGATCATCTGAGGAAGAAATGAAAGCTTACAGGCAATCGTGGAGTATGCTAAAATAGACTGCAGAGAACAGGATGAAATGGAACTGTGTTGTTGAAGATCTACAATACACTTTGAACCTCAGAAAAGAATAATAATAGTGATATTAAATATTTTGGATAATTGTACCATTTTCATAAAGCAGTGGCACTCAAAACGTTACTCATGAAAATCTGCAGGCTAAAAAATCCTACATTTCCCTGGATTCATCTATGAAGTTACTTCCATACTCAGTGCTGACTAGGTATTATATTTCAGAAACATACAAGGGGAACAAAGATTGTTGCACTAGTCTTTAGATTATATAATTTACTGATAATAGTACCCACATTTTGTACAGTAGTAACATACTGTACAAAATTTTCAGCATAGTTCATTGCGAGTTTTTTCTCTCTTCATCCAACAACTTCAAATAAAATGTCACGTGAATGTAGACCATGTGAAACACTTCTGCCTGACGTGAAGCGTAAACCAAGAAATTATGTTGTCCCTTCTTTGTCTTCTTCAGTAAATGCATGTAATTTGGTTGAGAGGCGATTAGAAAAGGCTCAGGAATGAATTCTGTGAGTCAAGGACACAACTCACGGACAACCATCTCTTATGTTGGAATACGCTCCAACCCACGATTGTGTTTTTTCTCATGATAACTAGAAACTTGAGAATCAGTAAGTTGTAAACACATTAAACACTTGACAGAGGAAATAATGTGATTAAAGTTCATATTTTATCAGATTTAAACAAACTGAACGGGAGAAAATATCTGTGAAATATCGATGGGATTTTCCGGTAGCTCAAATTGAAGCAGACTGCCTGATATGTAAATAAATATGCCTTTGTTACCAACCGATATTAACAGTTGACCTTATAGGTGATTCCCTGACCTTTAACTATACTACATAACCTTGCAACTTTCATTTGAAGATACGAAAATAATATTCTTTGCTGATACATTTCTTCCTCACTTACGTCACATCAGTATTTTTCATACGGTGGTTTTGAGTTAACATGTAGTACAGAATTAAGATAGGCCAAAAATTTCAGCAAGGATATCTTTTCGGTGATTTCATTCCCAAAGCCTGTACAGTGGCATTTATATACACCTAAGTTTACAAAGATACAATTATCATTATTTAATTCGGCATAATAACTCAGAAGATTTGAATATAGACTTCAGGGGAGATTTAGCATCAGGTATCCTAAAGAGAAGAATCCCTAAAGAAGAACTTTTCTGTATCAATTCTAAGATTGATATTCTCTAGCCGCTCACTGTTTCTAAGCAATGTAAAGGAAACATTTCTGTATATGACCACTCCAATACATATATATCGGTCCACCTGCTGGTGAAAAGCTGGGTCGTCCAATGCAGGTCCTTTCTAAACGTGTTAGAGAACATTTCTAGAATGACTGCAAAGAGGAGACACTGGTCCAATCAGAAGCGCCATGATAGAACACCTCATCAACACCAGTCGCAGCATCTCATTCAAAAGCATTTACACAGTGAACAAAAATCTACCAGAGGAACTGTATTTCCGACTTCTTCGCACTGCAGAATCCCTCACGATATGCATTCAAAAGCCAGGGGATCTATTCAGAAGAAACTAGTCCAACTTCTTCATTTATCATGGACTTAGTTCCCTCTGAGTCTTCAACTTTTGTGTTTTGTCTTCCTGTTTTTACATTTCATTTATAACAAACTATTATTTCAATTTGTTTCCATGCTCATCCCATTCACACCTGCACTCGTTAAAAACCTTTTTCTGATCCTATGTAGTTTTGTTTATAAGCCCCTTGGAATCCATTTTCACAACTTCGAACTTTTATATCAACTTGCAAATGATTATCACTTTCAATCTGCTCATCCTTCGTTATTATGTCGAATTAAATAATAATATCTTTATTCTGCACAGCATTTATAAAATGTACAGAATTTTCAGAGAAGTTTATTGACATTATATTTTTCCTTCGTACAATATCTTCAAGTAAAATACTAATTGACAGTAGTATTTCCTGTGAAACACAATGCTCTCTGAGCTGAAGCACAAACGATTCCATTATGATATATCTCCTTTGTCTCCTTCCTTCAAGAAATCCATGATATCTAGTTGTAAGACAATTGTTAGATGTTAAGAAGTACATTTTGAGACCAAAGGAAATAACTGAAGAACAGTTATCATCTCATGTATTGGAATGCGTCTCCACCCACAATCAGGACTTTCCTCAGGTGTAGTAAAAACTTGCGAATCAGATGCTTGTAGCTATCATAAATGTACACAAGAGTAGATAACACCATAAGAGGTCATATTCTGATCGATTAAAACAAAGCGAATGCGAGAAAATATATGCAGTGGAGAGACGGAAGTTT